TTGCCAATTTCAATTTTAAATAAGATTTTTTTAAAACTGTTTTTAATTGCAATTAGAAAATCTGATTTAAATTTCTTTTTAAATAATCAGTTTTATCCATTCTGTTTGGTCTGTGCTTTTACTCTACTAAATTACACACATAACTATGTTAAAAATATTAAGGTTGTAAAGTCAAGCACTAAAAAGTTAGGAAATCCCAGAATTAAGGATGCTTCTGCAACATGCTCTCCAGCGCAAGTCGAAAGACATGCACTAGCTCTGCTCAAACTAGCATGCTAAAAATAGCAGTGTGGCTGCATCAGCATGGGCAGCGGCTTTGGCTAGCCACCCACATACATGGCCAGGAGGTCAGGCAGGCTTGTACTCAGGCAGCTAGCCCAAACTGCTGCCCATGCCACAGCAGCCATGCTAGCACAGGTCCGTCTACCTACACTGGAAAGCACTATCCCAGCTGCTATGTAGACGTACCCTTAAAAAGGACTGTACAGCGGTCTCTGTCTCAGAGAGAAAGAGTAGGGTGTGACTCCACTCCAAAGAAAGTGAGCAGGGAAAGGCCTCACCTAGGAAGTGACTCTGCAAGACCAAAATAGCAGCCAAGGTGGAATTAAAAGCATAACCTCACCATATACACCTATTCAAATAGCAAGACCCCCTTCCCCACAATGCCAAGAAAGCAGCCCAAACTGAACACATGCTGTACTTTACAACTGCCACTAGGGTGACCAGACAGCAAGTGTGAAAAATCGGGACGAGGGTGGGGGGTAATAGGAGCCTATATAAGAAAAAGCCCCAAATATCGGGACTGTCCCTATAAAATCGAGACATCTGGTCACCCTAACTGCCACCCTCCTTCTCTCCCATCCACGGCTCTCTACTGCCACCCTCCATTGCAGCTCTGAAATAATGGCAGTTTAAAAAAAAAAAAGGCATCACACCTTTGCTTCGTAACTCAGCTGGCTCCTGATTCATCTTCAGAACAGAAGACCTATGTGGTATATTGAGGACTGTGTTGGAATTTCAGGCTATTACTTTAGTGGTGGGGAGAGAGCTCCCCAGTACTGCTTGTTGGCTAGAGAGCTCTATAGGGAAGCATGGATCACAGTCAGTCTAGAACATGATGGGTGACTCGTACGTCCCTATGTTACAGAGAAGCCTGCTTTGTGTCTGTTCTTGGTTACTGTGAGTTATTCTGGATTTTAAGAATAAATAACATTACAGTGCAACCTCCCAGCAAGAGTATTTTGTGATTTTATACAACATCTCTGTGTGTATGCTCAAACACAATAACCTAAACTTTGAATAAACTATAAAACACTTAACAGAAAAAGATTTGGCTACTTCAGTGCCTGACTCACATTCTAAACCTCCAAGGCAGCTATTACAGATTTAGACTTGGAGCCACAAGGAGCAGGAGTTGAACTTCAGCTATGGAACTCCTCCTAGTCCTTACCATAGGAAATCAGATCATTTGTTTTGAAGTGCAAGAAACACTCTTTGAGAAGGCACTGTACCAGGAACAGTGGCTGTGGGTGCCACACATATACCACCAAAAAAAAAATCCAAACACTTAATTTATAAACCAAGTTTTTCAGGGGAACAGAGAACATTCCACATTTTCATAAAAATGTCAGGCTGGAAGGGATCTCAAGAGGTCATCTACTCCATCCCCCTGTGCTGAGGAAGGACCATGTATATCTGGACCATCCCTGGCAGGTGTTTGTCCAGCCTGTTCTTAAAAACCTCCAATGATGAGCATTCCACAACCTTCCTAAATAACCTGTTCCAGTGCTTAACCATCCTTAGAGTTAGAAAGGTTTCAGAGTAGCAGCCGTGTTAGTCTGTATCCGCAAAAAGAACAGGAGTACTTGTGGCACCTTAGAGACTAACAAATTTATTAGAGCATAAGCTTTCGTGGACTACAGCCCACTTCTTCGGATGCATATAGAATGGAACATATATTGAGGAGATATATATACACACACATACAAAGAGCATGAAGTTGTCTTACCAACGCTGAGAGGCCAATTAAGTAAGAGAAAAAAACTTTTGAAGTGATAATCAAGATAGCCCAGTACAGACAGTTTGATAAGAAGTGTGAGAATACTTACAAGGGGAGATAGATTCAATGTTTGTAATGGCTCAGCCATTCCCAGTCCTTATTCAATCCTAAATTGATTGTATCTAGTTTGCATATCAATTCCAGCTCAGCAGTCTCTCGTTGGAGTCTGGTTTTGATGTTTTTCTGTTGTAAAATAGCCACCTGCAGGTCTGTCATTGAATGACCAGACTTTAACCTGTCTCCAAAACCACCTCTACCGCCACCACAATCTGGAACAGTTCCTCAGATATGTCATCTAAAAAGAATGCCACGATCACCTACAGTGAAGACCAATGCAGAGAATTCATTTAGGTTCTCCACAACAACTTTGTCTTTCCTGAGTGCTCCTTTAGCACCTCGATCGTCTAGTGGCCCCATTGATTGTTTGGCAGGCTTCCTGCTTCTGCTGTATTGTGTTTGCAGATGCAGCCTTGTGAGATACAAAACGAATGCAGAAAAGACAAAGCAAACTCTATTCTATCTAAAAAAAATATTTGCATATTCTAATCTGTTTTTGTGTCTAGTTAGTTGCTCTTCAAATTCTTTTTTGGCCTCCCTAATTATACTATTACACCTGACTTGTCTTCCTTTGAAGATCTCAGAAGATCTTATTATGCTAATATTGGTTGTTTTACTATAATTTTCAGAATATCAATCTTCATGTGTATAAATGAATCCTATTAATGCACTAAGAAGAGTTTCTGTACTGAGATTTAAAAAAAATAATTCTAACACTTCTGCTTGCAAAAGAAACCTCACAGATATAACCAGTGAAGTAATGTCTTACTAAGTTGATAGATACAACATTCTGACATATAGATAGCTGCATTTGTCTCACAAAGGTGGTAGCAGTGAAATAGTTAAAACTGGCATTTAAATTGTCATCATTAGGTTTCATTTGCCTTGGATGATATTTCATGCATCTTTATCCAATGATAAGATACTGGGAGGTATTTTTGGTAATGCTTTATTACCTTGTGTAAGGAATAATATCACTGTTATTTTACTTGTAACATAGGTGCAACCACCAATGGGAGGTTGAGAATGACATCTCCTCCTGGCCCCATCTCCAACCACATTTTTTTACGATTGTGTTGGTGTCTGTTGTGCAGCTGGAAGACTAGCTCATTTTCACTCTCTCTTCCACAACTTTTTAAAAAATGCTGTGGCACCACTGATTAAGTCTACACAAATACAATTTAACTTAATCAGAATCAGCTTGCCATCAGACTGCCTTAAGCGAAACAAGGAAAACTGTATTTTGTGTTGTGGGGCATAGCAAGCGTTGTGTTTTATTATACAACTTAACACACGTGAATGATTTATTGCATAATATCAGGGAATGACTAGTTAAACCACCAGTTTATCCAATTTACAATTTTATAAGGTGAATATTAGTATGGTGTCTGAATCTGAACCACCTTCCCAGTACCTGGGATATCACAAATAGCCACTCTTGCAGAACCTTCCCTAACTCCACCAGTCATGACATACTGTATACAGCGGCATAGGACTCTGCACCACACACCAATCAGTATCAGTATCATCCTAGAGCCCCAGACTTATCTGATTTCATTGCAAGCAGAACACAGCCAAAAATTAATTCCCTGCCTTCCCCATTCACCATTTGAAGAGCTGTATTTCAGATCCATCTCCTGGCTTCAATCCATGTATGTAAATCACCATACATACTGCAAGGTCAGAAACAGACTTATAGTTGCAGTATTGCCATTCTCCAACATTCAGAAATAAATCAAATACCAAAAGTTATGAGACTAGCTTAAATGTCATGATATTTTTAAATAAAATAATACAGGGCTCTTTTTAGCTACCTTCTGGTATTTGAGACTTTAGGGTTAATGTTTCAAGTTTTTCTTTGCAACCACAAGGGCTAGAAATGTTTTAAAATGAAAATTCAGGTTGACAATTACACAATTCCAAGAGCTGGAGTTTGAAGGAAAAAAACACACACCAAATGATTGCAAGACTTGCAATAAAATAGTCAGGAGTTGACAACATTGCAGTTGGAGGGGCTGTAAGTATGCAGGAGGTACTGCAGACAGAACGTATATGTTGCTGGTATTGGAGGAGGGAAGAACACAATAGTTATAGAAGGAAACTGATGAGGCTCCCTACAAAATGGCCAGGTTTTAGCCATCACCAACCACCCAACCGTTTCAGAATCTTCTCCTGAGGTTCCTGAATCTTAGGACTTGTCTACATGAACATTTACTTCACACCAAGCTATTGCACTTTGAAACAGAAGAAGATCAAAGTGCACTAAGGAACCATTAGTTCACAGCAGTAGGGACCATAGAGCATGTGGTAGAGTCACAACCCAGCTTGCCACAAACTAACTGTTCATATAGGCAAGCCCCTACTTCTAAATGTATAATGATGTAGGTATCGAGATGTAAAACAAGCCCCTTTTGCTCAGAAGAGCAGACCGCCCTCTGCCGTGTCTATCACCGGTGGACTGGTATACGGGTCTCCCTCCTCCTTCCCTATGTGTTGTGCAAATAATAAAAACTGGCAATAGGTGAAGGTAAAAACAACAGGTAAGTGTGCGTGTGGGGGGGATACATTTACAAATCAGGGAAGCGGTAATTGTGAATAAACAGTAACTAGATAAACAATACAGAGAGCGAAACAGCAGCTTTAAAACAGGAGCATGAAGCTCAGGCCCAAAATAGAAATCACACTGGCAACAGCACATAAATCCCCAACCGAGAAAACCCTATTTATCTCACTCTGTTGTCAGCACGTCTGTGGCGGCGGCGAAGTCCAGGACCTACAACTCGTTGGGTAATTGAAACCCGCAGAGGAGGAGCACTGGAGAGTCCCTCGATGTCTCAGGGCGGAAGAAGCGACCGAAACCCTCTGGTGATGTTGCACCCAGGAACAGGAGCAGGTAAGATGGAAAGTTTTCTTCCCTTTCTCTTCACTTCAGGAATGGTGGTGCCCTTCAACAAAGCACTGATGCTGTGAAGACCTGAATGGTGCACACACAGTCACTGGGATGGACTGCACCACTTGTCAGTGAGTTCAGTCCCTTTATGCATTTAGTGGAGGGAAAATATGGTACAGTCCCAGCAAAGGCGGGAAACAGTCTGAGGTAAAATTGTTCTTGGAGTTGTCAGTGGCAGGAAAAACCAGTTGGATCCAGTTATGACTGGGCTCTGATAACAGTAAACAACAAGATGGCAGTCACAAAATGGCAGTTCAGCCTCCATCTTGGATTGCTGCTATATCTTTACAAACTACATATTGAATTTAATATATACATATTTTAACAGACTATAACTTTATAACAAAACACACCCAACATCCCCATATTCCTAACTGCCAGTCTGTCTCCTATTCACTGACAAAACCTGCCTTTCAGCCTCTAAACCCCCCCACCCTACCTTAGCAATAGGGAAAACAAACATATCCATCTACCTTTAATTTGATTTTTGCTCCATGATCTACAGCTCTCAGTCAGACGGAGAATAAGTTTTCTCCACACCTGACTGCTTTTAGCATCTTAATGAGTTGCCATCCCCAAAAGGAGATTGTCTCATGCTCTCCCTGCACTGGCGGTAGGGGGGAGGGAGGAGGGGTTGTATTAAGTAAATAAATACTGGACGTGGAACAAAAACTCATTTATCTCGCTTTATTAGAAATGGACAATTTTAGTCACAGTATAAAACTACTCATTAAAGTGACACCAACAGCTTCTTTTTTTTAACTCTAGCCTTTCAAAATTAAAAAAAAAGTTGTCTACACCCCTGCCCTGCAGTTATGGCAATGACAGCAGGCAGATGGGGAGACTTCTCTCCTGTCCCCCCAGGTGTTTTCCCCTCACTAACTGAACAGGCTCTTCCAGAATATTCCATCTCTCCCCTTGTCTTGAGTCTCCAGCTGTCACATGCCTAATTGCCACTGTTACCACTTCATTAATTCAGAAGTCCATCCAGAACCGACACACTCGGGCATTAGCCAGGGGTCTCCCCTTACTCTGTGCCTCCCCTCCCCAACTGCTCTGGTTCTATCAGAACTCTCCCCCATCCCATAATACACCTATCAGTCTGTTACCCTCCTCCCCTCGCTAACTGCCCCTGTTCTGTGAGAATCTCCCCCCCCCTCCCAGGCTCCTGTGAGCCCCAGACTATCTACCACTCAGAGCTGTCCCTTAGGTACAGCGAATCACGGTGACTGCCCTGGGCCCCACGCTTTGGGGGGGACCCCACGCTTCAATAAAAATCGTGAGGAGGTGGGCAGGAAGGTGAGGCAGGCAGGCGAGTGGGGTGAGGAGGCGAATGGGGAGGCGAGCAGCAGGCAGGAGGGGTGGAGAGGAGCCCCCCTACCAGAATCTCCCCCTCCCCTCAGCCCCTGCTGTCCACTGGCAGGCCCCACCAATCAGCACCTCCCACCTGCTGTGGATCAGCTGTTTTGCAGCATCAGGAGGTGCTGGGGGGGGGGGGGGGGAAAGGAGCCAGGGCACAGTGCACTTGGTGGAGGGGGCAGAACTGGTCGGGGAAGAGACTGCGTGGGGGGGGGGGGGCTTGGGGAAGGGGTGGAGTGGGAGCAGGGCCTGGGCAGAGCTGGCTGGGGAAGAAGCACCCCCCAACAAATTAGAAACTCAGCAGCTATGTCTCCTGCACCCCCCTAGGGACGGCCCTGCTGCCACTCTGCCTCCATCTCCCCATAATGGCACCCTCCCTTAATCCTGTCCCCCACCCAGTTCCCCTTCAGCTCAGCCCCTCATCCATGCAGCCCAGCTCCCCAACCCCACCTCTGCTCTTCTCCGGCCTCTTCTCCGCCCTCTGCCAGGCTTGGGGTGGGGGGGCTGCAACAGGGTCCTATCTCCCCCTTCCAGGGTGGGGACAGCGCCAGGGGCTCTTCATGCAGGGAAGCAGGGAGAGGGAGCTGTTCCTGCAGCAGTTCTGACTGAGGCAGGCAACCAACCAGAGCACTCAGGCTTCTGACATCATTGGGAGACTGGCTCCCGCCAAAATCCCGTCACTCGTGAAAACATTCACAAGAGTTGGCAACATTTTGCGACCACCCACTCGTCTGTCACATCCCAGTCCCTGCGACACCCCTAACTACCAGTCTGTCCCCCCACCTCACTTCCGCTAACTGAAACGGCTTTTCCAGAACCTTCTGTCACAGCTCAAGGCAACTGCCCCTGTGTTTCACCTCAGCGGTTCAGCCAGGGCACCCGCCATCCAGCTTCCAGACCTAGGTCTCTCTCCCTTCTGAGCAGGGTATTTCCATGGCTGAACAGTTCCCTGCCTTCCCTGGGTATGCCCAGCCCTCGGGCACCTGATTGCTCTCTTTTCAGAGACAGACAACAGTGTCATTGCTACGGATAAGAACATCAGAACACAGGAACGGCCATACTGGGTCAGACCAAAGGACAAGCCAGTCCAGTATCCTGTCTACCAACAGCAGCCAATGCCAGGTGGCCAGAGGGAATGAACAGAACAGGTAATGATCAAGTGATCTCTCTCCTGCCATCCAGCTCCACCCTCTGACAGACAGAGGCTAGGGACACCATTCCTTACCCATCCTGGCTAACAGCCATTAATGGACTTAACCACCATGAATTTATCCAGTTCTCTTTTAAACGCTGTTATAGTCCTAGTCTTCACAACCTCCTCAGGCATGGAGTTCCACAGGTTGACCGTGCACTATGTGAAGAACTTCCTTTTATTAGTTTTAAACCTGCTGCCCATTAATTTCATTTGGTGGCCCCTAGTTCTTGTATTATGGGAACAAGTAAATAACTTTTCCTTATTCACTTTCTCTACACCACTCATAATTTTATATACTTCTATCATATCCCCCCTTTTTTCCAAGTCTCCTCTTTTCCAAGCTGAAAAGTCCTAGCCTCTTTAATCTCTCCTCATATGGGACCCGTTCCAAACCCCTAATCATTTTAGTTGCCCTTCTCTGAACCTTTTCTAATGCCAGTATATCCTTTTTAAGGTGAGGAGACCACATCTGTACACAGTATTCAAGATGTGGGCACACCATGGATTTATATAAGGGCAATAAGATATTCTCTGTCTTATTCGCAATCCCTTTTTTAATGATTCCTAACATCCTGTTCGCTTTTTTGACTGCCGCTGCACACTGCGTAGATGTCTTTAGAGAACTATCCATAATAACTCCAAGATCTTTTCCCTGATTCATTGTAGCTAAATTGGCCCCCCATCATATTGTATGTATAGTTGGGGTTATTTTTTCCCCAATGTGCATTACTTTACATTTATCCACATTAAATTTCATTTGCCATTTTGTTGCCCAATCACTTAGATGTAAGTTACCCCACCACTCTAAGCGAGCCTACTTTATTCTTCAGGTGAAAAATGTTACAGAGAAAACTCACCAAAGAACCTACATGAACGCTAACAAACTTACCCAAGTTCATCCCCGCTCTCACGTGGGCTCTGGCAAGCGCAGCCTTTTAATACCCCGTCCTGGTGGTTATGAGTTCATCAGAGCTTCAGCTCAGAGCAAGCACACACACCACAGGCTCCGTTCCCTTTTTGTACAGTTCAGGGGGGTCTTTGAAGTGGCATTTCCAGAAGCAAGTAGTTAGTTTACAGAGGGTCGCTCTCTCCTGAGGGCGTTTCTCCAAAAGGTTGGCTTCAGAGGGGGAGAATTTGCTTTCTCGTGTTATTTCCTAAGGAAACCCACTTCACACATATTGTTCCAGAAAGACCTTCCAACTCCCTCTGCCCTTCCAGAGATGGCATTAATCTCGTCTTTCGCCTAATCTCACAATTGTACCTAAATATTTGCATTTGCAATCCAATGAACCCCAAAAGGTGTTAATCCTAATTGTCCGTTTTAACTTAATTCAGTAAAGTTTATCTTCCTTCCATGCAGTTTGTTCAGGATATGGTTAGTCCGTCACACCTTCCAGCCCTCCCACTCCACGCCTCTCAGAGCCCTGAACCGCCACTGTGTCGCCCTCCTCCTGCTTACTTCAACCGACTGTTCCAGAACCTTCCATTCCTGTCATCCCCAACTGCCGTCTGTCATCCCCTCCCCCCACTAACTGCCACAGCTCTGTCAGAACCATCCAGTCTCCCCCCAGCAACTGCCACTCGCCCCTCTCTTCCCCTGCTCTGCCAAGGCCCTTCCCCTACCCCAAGTCCCTGCCATACCTCTTACTAATGGCCTACCTGTTCTTCCACCAATAACTGCCTTTCCCCTCCAAATCCTTCCTCTCCCCTTCTGTCACCAGTTGGTTTCCCACTCAGTACATCTCCCAGCCCCCACTAAAGACCCTGGCTTTTCCAGAACCCTCCATTCCCCTGCCATACCTCTAAATAGCAGCCTGTCTGTCCCCCACCCCTTCACTAAATGTCCAAGAGACACAAAAAACACCTCTTCCCCGCCCCCCCCAAAAGCCCCATATGATTAGTTTTAGGACTGTATTCCTCTTAGCCCTAGGCCATTCAGAGCCTTTTAAAGCATGGAAATCCCAAGGATGGCATGCCCAGGTAAGGGCTGTCTGCCTCCAGGCCTAAGCATTAAAGTCAATTTTTCATCAACTAAAAAGTTCCCAATAAATCTTGATGGATTAAACAGGGCGTGTTTCCTCAGCAAAACTCCTCCTTCTCCTCAGCTTTTCAAAATGAGACTCAGAAAAAGGGGGAAACAATGAGCCTTCCCTGTTACCTCCAGGTTAGGTACCTCTCCTGTTTCAGAGCCCAGCACTCTCTCCCTGACTTTTCTCCCAAAAGAGGGAGGACCTTTTTGTCTGCCACCTTTAGCCTCTTGATGAGTAACCACTTCTAGCTGAAGTCTCATTCCCCTGCTGCAATCTCTGCACTGATGGCAGACACCCGGGGGGACCTTCCCAGATCCTGCTACACACAACTGCCCAAATCCATAAAGTGAGTCAGCTGCTTAAAGCCCAAATTTATTCTCTATTGCAATCCACAACCCCCCTGCTTAGCTGCCACCTGATCCTGTAGGCACTTAAATTTTCAGTGTAAAAATCCCTTAAATGTCTAAATTTCTGCCTCTGGGTATGTGCACTGCTGCCTGTCTCCTGACTAAGCCCCAGCACAATGCTCAGCCCAGGTGCAGACAGGTGTTACCCACCTTTTGGCCAGAGGGGTGGAAGGAGAGCAGTAGCAGCTCCAAGCAAGTCCCTCCTAAGCCAGTGGTTAGAGCACTCACTCAGGCTGTAGGAAAACCCAGATCAATTCCCCCCTCTGCCTCATGAGGAGAAGGGATCTGAACAGGGGTTTCCCATAGCTCATGTGAGAGACCTAACCACTGACTATGAGTAGCCACCTCAGAATATCCTAATCTCTCCTGTTGCAGCTGTTCCACTTTGTATAAATCATCAAATATGCATTGGCTCAACTATAGCATGACTATAATCCAGTGGGCAGGACACTCAGTGTGAGAGGTAGGGTAACCCCTGTTCCAATTCCTTCTTATGAGGTAGATGGAGGAATTGAACTAGGATCTCCTCCCACATCCCAAGTGAGTATCCTAACCACCGGGACCCCTTCCTCCAACTGTCCCAGCTCTGCTATAACCTCATGCACTTCTAAGTACCAGTGTGCGCCCTTTCCCTCCCAACTGCCCTAGTTCTACCATAAACTGCCCCTGTCATCAGACACCTGTGATCTGGCGGTTCCACATCAGGGTATAAGGGGAACATGGGACTACTTCCAATCAGTGGCATGCACAGGCCATAAGGCAGGAAAATTCCTGCTGCCTTACCCAGACCTCTTGCGCCTCTTCTCTGCCAGAGAGGGCAGTCAAGAGGGGCTGGTAGACGAATCCATGCTTAACCTCACAGGCATTAGCATGCAGGGGTGATGTGATAAATGGCTGGGCTATGACCAGGGCCTGTGAATCTGCTGTGTCAGCCTCTGGAGTGGAGAATGGTGTGGTTGTGATCTGACAGATTCTGCTGTGAGCTACAATCTAGAATAACTCCATGGGGTTCCGCGGAGTGACACTGCATTTACACCAGGATAACAGATCAGAATCTGTCCCAGGCATCATTGACTTTGGTGGGATCACTCTACATTTACATCAGAGTCACTGAGATCAGAATCCAGTCCTGACTCCATCGGTTAGACTAGCAGTTCTTGTAGCTTCTTTCTTGTATCTTGAGTGACACATAGTGGTGATTCTGTGAACTACAGGTGCCGATGCCCTGCTGCTGGGGCAGTAACCCAGGCCCTGATTTCCTATATAAATATGGGTAATTGAGTCTGCTTTGGGAACAGTTTTATCTGCAGTATTGATCGCTTTCATTTCAAATGCCAACTTTCCTGCCTGTAACTCAGAGCAACAAGTGCAGTTTACAAGATGGGCTTGGACTCCAAAGAAGTGGGGTCTATTCTCCACTCTGTCAGTCTGCTGGGTGACCTTGGACCAGTCACTTCCCTGCCTTGTGATTCGGTTTTCCCATCTGTAAAATGGGAATAATAACACTGAATTTCTTTATAAGGAGCCTTGAGATCTACAGATGAAGTGCTGGATAAGAGCTAGGATTATTCCTAGAAACATATGTCTGTATGTGTGTGTGTGAGGGGGGACAATTAAAACAGGCAGTGGGAAGGGGAGAATGCCTAACCACTCTGCTGCTTGCTAACTTTCAGTGGTAGCCTCCAAGCGTCATTCCTCTCCTCTGGACCTTCCCACTGCCGCATGCCCAGATGACTGGATTGGCTACCGAGGGAAATGCTATCTCTTCTCAAAGGCAGACAGGACCTGGAACGAAGGCCAGAGCACCTGCTTGTCACTCAGTGCCTCCCTGGCTGTGATTGACATCCAGAAACACCTGGTAAGGCAGAGATACAGGTTCTCTGTGAGATGCAATTAGGCGATGTGGCAGAGCAGACAGTGATGGAATGAGGTCTGTCATGCTCTGAGATGCCAGCGCTGGGAGCTCAGACCATGAAAGTTGAGGGTTAAATGATTTCCTGGATCACATAACAGTCCTCCCTTTGTCTGTTTAGACTTTGAGCTCCTCAGGGCAGCTACTGTCTCTCACTGTGTATCTGTGACGGGCCCCTGATCTCAGCAGGGGCAGGGACTGTCACTGTGTGTCTGTGCAGCACCCTGTGGGGCCCAGATATCAGTTGGGGCTACCACTATACACATAATAGATTCACATAGTTTATGTTCAAGATTATTATGAATCGTCTCCTTAAGTGCACCTGACACGTTGATCTGAGCACAGTTCAGATCTGGGTCAGTTCTGATCTCTCCCAGCAAGGAATTCTACAGCTGAGGTCATGGCACTGGCCCCAATCTGTGTCTGTCAAGCTGTCTCCAGGGTCCCATCCCAGTAAGGGCTTTGTAGATAAAGACTGGAGGCCTGATTCCCCATTACCGTCTTGGGGCTGAGTGCAGAACCTCCACACCAGCTCCACCTTGCAGGGAGATTCTGACCGAGCTGTCCGCGCCTGCTTTAAGGCAACCTTGTGCTGCCCAGTGTGGCCTGAGTGTAACTGACAATCAGGTCGCAGGAGGACTTTCTTTCTCACCTTAGGTGAATGACGAGTTTGCTGTCCCCAGTGCCCTGTGAGCGTCATCACGGACTTTTCTCCCTTTGTTGTTTTTAAAGAATTTCCTGCGGCAACATAAAGGCTCCCCTGCACACTGGATCGGCCTCTGGAGGAGGGACCCGGCCCAGCCCTGGAGATGGGCGGATGGTACAGAATTCAACAACCACCTGTGAGTGCTTTATGCTAACAGCCTCTTCACGGTTGGGCCAGAAGTTAGGGCTCTCATCTGATAGTCAGAGCTGACGATCTTTCAGGTATTACAGGTGCTACAACAACCCTTTACTCCAGGGGTGTCCCCCTCATTTTGTGCAGAGGGTCAGATCCCTTCTCTGAGTACAGTCAGTGGGGTATACATGTAGCAATCTCATTCTCTGGACACTTGTACGACAACTGCAGCACCTTTTGTGGGAAGATATTGCCCTGTGTAACAACACCCTGGCTGGGATTGAGCTGCGGATCTCTGGATGTAAAACATGAGTCTCTACTGCTCGAGCTAAAGACCCACGTTTGTTAACAGGCAGGAGCAGACCTATATACCTTTCACTGGGTCCCGCCACTAGCGAGGGATAAAAAGCTGCACTGGGCTAGTCACATTTCCCCCTGCACTTTCTGCAGTGATTTCATACCAGTGCAAAACGATTGTGAAATGCTTCCTTGCTGATTCAGCCACTTTCCAGTGGTGAAAATGACCATGCCAGGGACAGGCCATATAGAATTGGCCTGAAGCATATTACAGATAGAGTGGGGGGGAAACTTTTTGGCTCAAACCATTTGGGAACGCAGCAATGTTTGGCGATTTCCTGTCAGGTTCACTAGATTGCTCATTTAAAAAAAAAATCAAAATGTTTTGGTTTCAAACAAATTTTCATTGCAAAATGTCCTTTTTAACGTTTTGAATAAAAAAAATTATATAAACTAGCTGACAGCCAAATAAAACATTTCAATTTTTGTAAAAACGAAACATTTTATTTGACCCAAAATGAGGTGTTTTTTTTGTTTTATGAAATTGCCAAAGTACCAGAAAATCTGTTCATTTACCCCCTTAATGGGTTAGAATGGTTCTTGCTATGATAAATATCCCTAGCATAGAAAAGGCTTCTGTGACAGTCTCCCATGGGAAAATCTGTTCAGCTTGCCTCAGGTGCTCTAGGAATGGTTAAGGCTGAGATCTTTGAACAGAGGTTCCCTGAGTCCCAGCCTAGTGCCTTACCCAGAAGGCCATTCTCTCCAGCACAGCTGCTTAGATTTTCCCAGAATGCACCGCTACAGCTCAGGCTGCGCTGTGGGAGTGTCCAGGCAAATGTGGTGACACATGGTCTGTAAACACCATTTAACCGGGTCAGTTATAACCAGCTCTGATGAGAGAACCGTAACTTGGTTAGTTTTTACCGATTAATTGTATTGTGGGAGCCTCATTCATGGAGCAGGACCCCATTGCGCTAGGTGCTGTACAAACCTAGAACAAAGAAATGGGCCCTGCCCTTGTAGATCGGACCTGCGAGTGCAGCAATTACACAGGGGGTCCGGTGTTTGGATGCTTCCTGTGTGATTCAGCTGATGAGTGATTTTCCCTCCATTGTAGGTTCAAAGTGGAAGGAGACGGACTATATGTATATCTCAACGACCGTCCCAGCAGCTCATTGGGCCACACCACCATGAAATGGATCTGCAGCCAGCCGGATGAACTGGCAAAGAGGAAACAAAATGGGGCCCTGCAAGCTTTACTGGAGTGAAGCAAATCCCCTCTCTTCAGCTGCCGCTGCTGCTTCCTATAGAACAGATATTGACTAGCTGCTTTAAATGCCATACTCTGGAGCTAGGAGAGCAACTCCAGAAGCAGGGCTCTATCCCAGGAGTGGGGGGGGGGGGCGAGGTTCTGTGGCCTGCAATGAGCAGGAGGTCAGACTGGATGGTCATAATGGGCCCTTCTGGCCTAAAAGTCTGAGTTTAATTAAACCCTTGCTCAGAGCCCACTGCCAAGTTCAGGGCCCACTGGGAGCTACACGTACACCACAAAGAGACAGTCCCTGCCTCAAACTGCTTCCAAGCTGGCTAAGGCCTGCTCCACGCAGATTTCGTACAGGTCTAATTAGGCTCACAAACGTTCGATTTCTATCAGTAAATGTCGGTAAAAGTCAATCCCACCGTATATACACACACACACACGGATGGAAAAAATATTTCCATCGAGCTTTGCGGATAGGCTAAGTAAGACAAATGCGGCTTGAGAACGTATGCAGGCTGTTTATTCTGTCAGCATCCCATACGTAAAATTTACAATTTGTGTTTAACAGTCAGAGAAAGATTTAACTTCTTGAATCTTAACGTCTACTGTCACTAATGATTGTCAGGCCCCCTCATTGGCTGAGCCCTCCCCCGCCCCCCAACTTCCCAGAAATATGAACATTTAAATGGACACAAATAGAAAAAATGCTTAAAACTAAACTGATGTTATGCATGGAAATTACAACCATTGAATGCGGCCAAGCTTTGCTAGAGCTACTGGGTTAAGGAGTGAGACTTTTTTGATCTATGAGGTTATACGGCTATTGCAGCCATCATGCCCTTCACAGCTTGTGTAGGTTGGGCCCCAGCGACACCTTGCATTCCTCCAGTCCCCACAAACAGAGGCAAATTAAGTATCAGGGGGTAGCTGTGTTAGTCTGTATCTACAAAAACAACAAGGAGTCTGGTGGCACCTTAAAGACTAACAGATTTATTTGGGCATAAGCTTTCGTGGGTAAAAACCTCACTTCTTCAGATGCATAGAGTGAAAGTTACAGATGCAGGCATTATATACTGACACATGGAGAGCAGGGAGTTGCTTCGCAAGTCAGGAGCCGAAGTAACTCCCTGCTCTCCATGTGTCAGTATATAATGCCTGCATCTGTAACTTTCACTCTATGCATCTGAAGAAGTGAGGTTTTTATCCACGAAAGCTTATGCCCAAATAAATCTGTTAGTCTTTAAGGTGCCACCAGACTCCTTGTTGTTTTTAGAGGCAAATTAGGGATTAGTGGGGCTGTTGGGGCCCCTCCCCACCCCTTCTGCCTGCAGTGCCCTTCACTCCCCTCAGCGCTCCTGCCAGGAAGTGGGGTCGGGGTGAGGGGGCTTCCTGAGGGTATCTCCACAGTGCAGCGGGGAGCGAGCCTCCCAGCCCGGGTGCGCAGACAAACATGCTAAAAACAGCCGTATCTTTGCTGCAGCGCCAGCCCCAGCTGCAACATCTACAGAGCTATTTTTAGCACGAATCCGTGGACACTCTTCTGGGCCGCTTGCTCCCAGATGCCGTGTAGACACACCCAGTACGTCCGCCGTCACTTGCTCGTCCTAAAGCGTACGAGCTCGGGACTCCCAGCTAATCATTTTGCCCCCGTACCTCTCAAAGCATGTCACAGAATTCAATGTCATTACCCCATTTTATAGGTGGGGAAACTGAAGCACGGCACAAGACAGGGATTTGCTCCAGGTCACATGTGGCCAAGTCAGGAATAGAATACAACTTTCCTGCTTTCCTCTCTACCCAGTGGGCTAACATTGATCCCCCCACCCCTCTTGTACTCTGCTCCCAGCAGTGCTAAGGAACAAAGGGACTAGATCAAGGACTCAAATTCCCTTATTTTGCCAACTGTTGCTCCGCATCAGCTTAGAGAAAGAGGGCAGCGTCTCTATATAAAGCCCTTCGAATTCATCCTCATGGGGCAGGAGCGCTCTCCTGGGCACTGACGTTCTCATTTGCCTCACACCACGACAGCGTCTTTCTGGCAAATCCACTTGAATTCGGCGCTGCAGGTTTCCGAGTTGATCCGGTTCCCCTTTACCACCCCACAGCTGTTGGAGGCAACAGGGCCTGAGACCCGGAACCTGCAGAGCGAAGGAGAAAGGTGGTGATAGATGGATTAGAGAGACCCTCCTCTCGCAGTGATGGGATGCTGGGATGGGGGCCTTGATGACAGTGTAACCCAGGGCTGAGTGCCTCTACTAATCGCATGGGATGGCTCCTTAGCTCAAGCGGTAGCAGCTCTTGCTTTTAGCTCCGGAGGTCCCCAATTCAGTCCCCAGGCTGTCAGCCATCACAGCAAAACCTCCCAGGACATGAACTGAGCTAGGGTGTCTTGGCATCCGTCTTCCCCCATTCTGATAACCACTCCCCATTATTCAGGCCCCACAAGTCTCCGGGGAGATCCTGGCCCCCCTTGAAGTCACTGGGAGCTTTGCCAGGATCATTCCACCTCTGCTCTCTTCTTGTGGCCGATTCCTCTCTCGCTCACTGCCGATTTAACACCACCAACGCCCAGATCCACAAAGGTATTTCGGCTCCTAACTCCCATTGAATTCAATGAAAGTTTGAGCTCCTTTCGTTGATCATTATAAAGCTTCTCTAGCCCATAGTATTAGTTTATTGCTCATTTCTTATATGGTTATTATCAACTAGCAGGTTACGTCGTATATAATCATTGTATGCTCAATAGAGTTAAGTGGTAGGATAATAGAAGTATAAGAATGATTAGTAGTTGGAAGGGGTAATTATGTATTCGATATCTAAGTAACGAGGTCTGAAACACAAGGCTGCAGGCTGAGGCCTGCAAGATTTTAGCTTAGCTGTTGGAGCTAAGAAATACTGACATAAACAAGTGACCGAAGAATAACCCGATGCCCTAAGATTACGGGAAAAGAGGTACCAAGTGGTGATATTGTGAAAATCTAGCCAGAAGATTAATTTTAAATCATAAAAATGCTGTAAAGGCGCATCTGTTTCCAACATGTGCCTTCATCACAGGACACAGGTTGTGTATTAATGCTAGTGAGAATAAAGAGAACCTACACGACCTATAGAAATCAGGGTACTGTACGTTTCTAGAGGACATCAGACCAATAAGGAAAAAGAGGGCTGACACTATATGCATGGACATGTGCAGAATGTAGGTATAGATTGAATAAGGAGGATGCCCAGAGCGGGAAAATTGAGCTCCCTATGGGAAACTCCAGCAGGAACCATCGCTCTATTCATGGGCAATCCATGCGAGACCCATCAGACCCTAACACTACCGTTAAGGTTGTGAGTATATTTGTAACTTGTGCATATGTCTGTGTAGGATTTCTATATGCAGGGGTATTCATAACCTTAATAAAATTTGTAAAACAGATAGACTTTGTACTGGTAAATGTCTGTGTGGTCACTACCCTTAGTCTTTATTCATTCCTAGAGACTCTAAATCTGTAGCAAGTAGCAGAGGTGACTTTCACGCCGTTGAAACTGTAGAGACCACATCGGAACGCACAGTGGTGTAACACCACATTACAAAACTCACTTGAAATAGCGGTGTAGCCTTTTATTTGATCTCTTTAGCTAAGCAAAGAAAAGGTGAAGAGGGAACAAATGTAATAACGGGCTCTTCAATCTAGCAGAGGAAGGTCTAACACAACCCAGTGTCTTGAAATTGAAGCGAGACAAATTTAAACTGGAAATAAGGCATAAATTTGTTAACGGTGAGAGTAATTAACCACTGGTAGAATAACCCAAGGTTCTCGGTGGATTCTCCATCTCTGACCATTTTTAAATTGAGTGGATGTGTTTCTAAAATATCTGCTCTGGGGTTTATTTTGGGGGCAGTTCTGTGGCCTGTGTTTATATAGCAGGTCAGATTATATGATCACACTGGTCCCTTCTGGCCTTGGAATCTATGAAGATGGGGAAACTGAGGCCCAATGGGATGAAGATTCCTAATCCTCTCCTTGTTTTATTATCAGAACATGCTGTCCCCCAGAGCTGGGACTAGAACCCAGATGGTCTAATCCAAGGCCCTGGAATCAGAAGGAGCCAAAGGAGAAACAAAGCCCTGATTTATAGCCTAGTTGCAGAGCAGATGGTTGCATTAAGAACATTTGAATCGCAGCGATGTCCAAGTCACCCATGAAACCTGAGCCCCTGCTGGGATGCTAGGAGGGATTCCTGTCCAAACACGCACAGCCCTGCACTTCAGCTCTTTGGAATCTGAGCCCAAATGTGCAAAGCTTCAGAATGAGCAAATCATAGAACCATAGGACTGGAAGGGACCTCGAGAGGTCATCTAGTCCAGTCCCCTGCACTCATGGCAGGACTAAGTATTATCTAGACCATCCCTGACAGGTGTTTGTCTGACCTGCTCTTAAAAACCTCCAATGACAAAGTCTCCGCAACCTCCCTAGGCAATTTATTCCAGTGCTTAACCACCCTGACAGTTAGGAAGTTTTTCCTAATGTCCAACCTAAACCTCCCTTGCTGCAATTTAAGCCCACTGCTTCTTGTCCTGTCCTCAGAGGTAAAGGAGAACAATTGTTCTCCGTCCTCCTTGTAACAACTGTTTTCAAGTATATAAAAGATTATCATGTCCTTTCTCAGTCTTCTCTTCTCCAGACTAAACAAACCCAATATTTTCAATCCTCCCTCATAGATCATGTTTTCTAGACCTTTCATGATGCTCTTCTCTGGACTTTCTCCAATTTGTCCACATCTTTCCTGAAATGTGGCACCCAGAACTGGACACAATACTCCAGTTGAGGTCTAATTGGCGCGGAGTAGAGCGGAAGAATGACTTCTCATGACTAACTTACAACAATCCTGCTAATACATCCCAGAAGGATGTTCTCTTTTTTTGCAACAGCGTTACACTGTTGACTCATATTTAGCCTGTGATCGACTATGACCCCAACATCCCTTTCCGCAGCACTTCTTCCTAGGCAGTTATTTCCCATTTTGTATGTGTGCAACTCATCGTTCCTTCCTAACAAATCTACAAATATGGAGGAAAAATATAACAGTGAATCTACAGGCAACACTCACAGCGTTTGATTTAAAGGGGAGCCGTCCACCCAGGTCCAGTTCCCAGTGTGGGACGTGATGTTCAGGCCGATCCAGACGTGGCTTGTGCCTTCTGTGATCATGTTTATGAAATCCTGGGGAGTGTAAAGCAAGCAGCTGGGTGACTCTCACACAGTCTTACACCCCCTGCATATACAGTGACCCCCCCGCCGCCACTCCCATCTCACCAGGAGATCTCTCAGAGACCCAAAACATGCAAGGAAAATGGATTCTGACCCAATGGGGCCAGCACACTGCATGATACCCTCTCACTGGAGAGCTTCAGTGGTATTGAAGAATAGACCCGTTTCCCTGAGGGCTTGTCTTCACTACCCGCCCAGACTAGCGGGTAGAAATCGATCTCTCAGGGATCGATTTATTGCGTCTCGTCGGGACGCGATAATCGATCCCCGAATTGACACGCGTACTCCACCAGCCCAGATAGGAGTAAGCGCCGTCGATGGGGGAGCCGCGGCGGTCGATTTACCGCTGTCCTCACAGCGGGGTAAGTCGGATCAGATACGTCGAATTCAGCTACGCTATTCCCGTAGCTGAATTGCGTATCTGAAATCGATCCCTTCCCCCCTCCTCCCCCGTAGTGTAGACGTAGCCTCAGAGTTGCTGAGTGGTAAAGGAGTAAAAAACTGGTAGAGCTACAGTGATTCACACCAGCTGGAGAACTGGCCTTGTGTATTTCACTTTACCATGTCCTCTTGGTCCCGGATCACAAGCATTTGTGAATTCCTCGATTCACAGTCTTTCTGGCTCTCGTTCCACATCTGACTCCTTTTAGAATCCCAGTAGCACTTTCCGTTGTGCGTCTGCCAGTCCTTGGGGCAGAGTTTGCACCCGGTGCCCCCTGGAAAAAGAAACAGAGACGTCTGTGAACTCACATAAAGCCAATATTTTTTTTTCAAGCTATTCAAAAGCCCTAGCCCTCAGTGGGCACTAGGGGCCAGATTCCCAGCTGGTGTAGGTCAGCATGGAGCACATCAATTTACACCAGCTCAGGATCTGGCCCTAGAGCAACCCTAGTCAAAAATATCCATCCGATTTTGTCATAGTGGAGGGGATGGATTTATTTTCCCCTCTTTTCTCATGACTCAGAAAGAGCTCAAGGGATTTCACTCAAACTCCCCCCCCCCAATATGATATAATAAATGTTTGTCACAGACCAAGCAAAGGAAGTTTGACCCTGGAAGTTGAATCTCAGAGCATTTGCTGGCTCTAATTACGGTGCTGGGTGCTCTGTAGAGTGAGAACTACCCCATGTGACCACTAGAGGTCACTGCTGCCATTAACACCGGTGAGTACTGGGGGGTCTGGGTATGTCGCAGGTCTCTGCTGAATATAGGATTGTTATTGAATTGGTTAGTTGTATTGCAGGAGCCCATGCTGGGCACTAAACAAACACGGCACAAGAAGAAAGTCCCCACCCCCAAAGGGTATTTTTGTTATCTGCATTTTAGTAACACCTAAAGGCCACGCTGCCTTTACTTAGGGGAACTTGACTTCTACTCAAGAGATCTGTGGTCTTTCCAAGTTCTGCCACGGAGCTGCTGCGTGACCTTGGGCAAGTCACTTCTGGTTCCTCTCCTGCCCTTTGTTTAGGTTGCAAACTCTGCCAGGCAGGGAGTGTCTCTCGTTGTGTGTCTGTGCAGTGCCCGGCAAAACAGGGCCTGATCTGAGCAGGGCCAGGGATTGTTTGGGCCTCCATGTGCTACTCTAATGGACATAGTGACAGACAGTCTCTATCCCAAAAGCTCAGTCTAAATAGAGAAAACATCCAAAGGAAGGATCATTATCCCTATTGTACAGATGGGGAAACTGAGACCCGAGAGATGCAGTGATTTGCCCAGGCTCAGACAGGGAGTCTAGGACAGAGCCAGGTGTTTTACCCAGGTCTCTTGTGTCCCATTCCGGCATGTGAGCAGTGAGCTTTTCCAGCAGATGTTGAATGTCCATAGTCATTCCACCTCCCCCTGGCTCCCAAGATTCCCCAGCTCGGGTGTTTCCCAGACTCTGAGCCCGGCATGGAAATCAGTTCAGAGACAGCCTGAGCTGAGGTTACCTGCTGGGCCGTTCCTGGCTGGGTCACACAGACTCTGCTTGAGACGAGACACGAAGGCCGCCTGCCAGACGTCGAATTGTGCGCTGCAACTGGCCTGTCCGGCCTGGAAACCTTCCAAACAGCATCAGTGCAGAGGGAGGTTAGGACACGGCGCGTAAGGAAGCTCTAAGGAGCTAGGTCACGTTCCATAGCACAGAGGGCAGGGAAGAGAGAAGGGGAGTGAATCTGGACCCGGTTCCCCATTGTCCTGCACCTTGTGGTGTCATTTATACTAGTGCAGAATGCCACCATCTGCTCTGGTAGCAGAGCTAGTAAATACAATCCTATTGTCTGTGCCTTTTTTTAAATTATTTTTTTCAATTAAATACCAAAAAAACCCCAGTTTTTCACTTCTGTTTCCCTTTCTCCTTCTTTTTCCCCCTCCTCCGTTTTCCCATTAAAAAGGGCTGATGGAAGGAAAAAAGGGGAAGGAATGGGGAAAATAATTTCAAATGTTAGTTAAAAACCCCAGTAAATTTTTAAAATGTTTAGCGAAAGCCTTTGCAAAACAAAAAAAATGTTCAATTAAAAAAAAAAAATTGGACAAAAAAAAAAAGAACAAGCTGGTGCATTTAGTAACATTTTGCACTTGTTTTTCCACTTGGGTGAATGGCTGATAGGCAGCAGGGAACCAGACCCATGGAGACTCATTTCAGTGGGCTAAACCCCACTTCATCAGATGTGTGGAGTCAGACCCATGGAGGTGAGCTGGTCTGAAGAACATGGTGGAAACTGGGCCCCATTCATTCCCCCACTGGAGAAGATGAACCATAGTTGGTGGGAGAGTCGAAGAAAATTGCCACTGCAGACAATTCTCATTTACCCTGTTCCTGCACTTGCAATAGGCACCGAGGTAAAAGGGTTACAGACATAAGAGCTGCCTTATTGAGTCAGACCAATGACCCATCTAGCCCAGTATCCTGTCTCTGACAGTGGAGGACAGGTGGGGTCCCAGAGGAAGTGTGAAAGGTAGAGCTGTGGGTTAAACACCCCCAGGGTCTGGAGGAAGCCAGCGCCTGTGCTAGATACTTACCCCAGACACTCTGAGCAATCACAGCCAACACCAAAAGGACACACACAGCCCCTAAGATTCCCACAGCAACTTTATAACTGTCGAGACCGGGAGGAGAACCTGTAAAAATTCAAACATGGGGAAACCATTTCAGTGAAGGATAAAAGTAGCCACGGAGGGATTTCCTGCTAAACCTACCAACCCAATTGTTGTACTAATCCTGGTGCATTCCCTGCAATTTCCACATCTAGTTTTGTTGGCCTCACTTGCAGGGTTAGTGCGACCACCTCAGTGTAAGATCTTTGGGGTAGGAGCTGGGTTACGCAATTAATAGAAGTAATACAGTAGCCTAGAAGGCCCAGCTGAGATCAGGGCCCCGTTGTGCCGGGCACTGCACAGGCACACAGCGAGAGACAGGCCCTACCCAGAGGATCACCTACTATAATTAGACTAGACAAACAAAGGGGAAAAAGAGACACAGAGACTTGCCCTACCTCACAAGCAGGGACCTAACCCAGGTTCCCTGGCCTTTACCCTACCCAGTACCCCATGGCATGCCAGAGAGATATACTGCTATTTCAGGCCAGGTCAGCCAACAGTTCTTAAGTTTTTTTCCAATTACTGTCACCAGAACCAGCAGACAATACAATTAAGCAGCCCACTGTTTAATCCCTCCTGGTCTCTCCGGGTAGGAGCGTAGGTGTTGTCACACTGGATCAGAGCATGGGTCCATCTTGTACAGTCTCCTGTCTCTGATAGGGACCAGTGCCAGATGCAGTCGAAGGTGGTATAAGAACCCCAGAGCTATAGCCACCAGTCTGAATGCCGAGAGCTCTGACCTTACCCCGCTCCCTGACCAGTCTCCTTTACTGGTCTCTGTGGCGCTATTCTGAACAGCTGCCACAATAATTTTATACCATCGAAAGCGCTGTCAGAAAAACACTTGTTCACTCCCTCCTGGAGCTGTTGAAAAAATGTTGCAGCCATGTCAGAAAATGTGGATGAGTTTTTCATGAGTGTTTATGAAAGGGACTTAAAAAGGGCCAAACTGGAGTTTGAAAAGCAAAGAGCTACTGGTGTCAAATCAACAAGACTGTTTAAATAGAACAGAAGCAGAAACAATCTCTGCAAGAATAAGTTAGTCTGCTGGATAACCATGATTTTAAGGATGATAAGGACATTTCTGAGAAGCTAAATATCTTTGTTTGCATCAATCTTCACAACAAAAGGGTGTGGGAGTGAATTCCTATTCTAGCTCTGCTCTTTGCTGATAATAAAGTTGAGTTCCCATCAGAGGCTGAGAAACAAGAAGAGGAAATTGATCATTTTAAAAATGTCATAAAAATCACTCAGCTGTGGTTGAGAATGTTAACCCCCTTTTTAAAAAAAATGGCATTTTTCTGTTTTGAACCAAAGCCCTCCGTCCGACTCTGCTGACCTACTGAAATCAGGACTGAAAGAAAGAAATTTTGCAGAATAACTAATAGGCAAAAAACATTTTTTTCTCTTCACGTTTCTGATCACTTTTTTTTAAACTGCAGGAGTTTGAAAAAAAAATCAAAATATTTTTGCAAAAAATTCCATGTTTGAAGAGGTGCAAAAAAGGCCATTTTTTCCCCAAGGAAAACCTGTTTTTGCTGGGGCAGTTTCCTTTGGTTGTGCCCTCACTGAAACCTAAAGGGCAGACGCCATTATTGAGTGGACAGTGTAGGTTGGTTTATAGAGCAGTACCTTGGCTCCCGTGCTGAGATGGCTGGGTTGAGTTTATCCTCTTCGTCCGGGTCATGATAGCGTAACCATCATCATCCTCCATCTTCTGATGCCTGTGTCGGGTTTGGTTTCTAACAGAGGATTGGAGAATAAGAAGAGAAGCCTGTGGATTCCGGCTGGTCTCCACAAGCCTATAGAGGAAGTACTGGCTCCTCCCCAAGAATCAGGTGTGAAACCACAACATGCAGAAATGCTGGTGTCTGATGGACCCAGGGGCATGACAGTGGAGCCCGATGCTAAGGAGGTATGTGCAGGTGTCACATGGCCATGTACCCGACCTCAGGGGTCAGATGTTCTTTGGGAATCTTGGGAGACAGACCAGTCCTCGCTTACAGACAGCCTCCCAACCTTAAGCAAATACTCACCAGCAACCGCACACCATACAACAAAAACACTAACCCAGGAACCTATCCTTGCAACAAAGCCCAATGCCAGCTCTGTCCACATATCTATTCAAGTGACACCATCATAGGCCCTACCCACATCAGCCATACCATCAGGGGCTCGTTCACCTCCACATCTACCAATGTGATATATGCCATCATGTGCCAG